GCACCCCAGGGAGGCGTGGCGCCGCCCCCGCCTCCGGCTCCGCCCTCCGCCTGGCTCCGGGCCCCCGAGGCCTGCCTAAGGGGCCGCTCCCCGCAGGTCTGAGCGCAGCATCCTGACCTCCACCGTCCTGCTGACGGCCATGCTACGTCAGCTCCGCTCCCCGGCGCTGCTGCGGGAGGCTGTGGCTTTCCTCCTGGGCACGGACCAGCAGCCCGAAGGCCCCGAGGACGACCCCTGCACTCTGTGTGCCCACCTCATCGGGCACTGCGACCACCTCTCGGATGAGGTAACAGCGGGAGGGCCCTGGACCCCGCCTGCTGCCTGGCCTACCGGGGGAGGGGAGGGGAGGACTCCCCGAGTGCTCCCTGCCGTCGTAGTGCTCCTGGGCGAGTCTCCCTCCGAAGACTGAACCACCCCCAAAACCAGTGACAGGATTGGCAGCCATGTTTGTTTTACGTAGGGTGGCATACTTTTATTTTTTTAAAAGATTTGTTTATTTTAAAGGCAGAGAGGGAGAGACAGGCAAAGAAAGAGAGAGGTCTTCCATCTGCTGGTTCACTCCTCAGATGGCCACAACAGCCATAGCTAGGCCAGGCCGAAGCCGCAAGCCAGGAGCTTCCTCCAGGTCTCCCACGTGGGTGCAGGGGCCCAGGCACTCGGGCCATCTTCCACTGCTTTCCCCGGCGCATGAGCAGGGAGCTGGATGGGAAGTGGAGCAGCCGGGTCTTGAACCAGCCACTCACGTGGGTTATGGGCACTGCAGACAGCGGCTTCAGCCACTGTGCCACAGCACCAGCCCATATCATACACTTTTTATTGCACGCTATAGTGTGCACCTGCTCTGGCCACTGGGAGCTCACAGCTGTCCATGTGGCTCGCCCTTGGAGATCTCCCGTGAAGTTAGTGACAAAGCAGGCAGGCCCTCCCTGGGCTTTCTGGTGCCTGGGCCAGGCCTCTCCTCCTGAAACCTGCCACCTTGGTGCCCAGCCAGACGGTGACCCCTGCCTCGGCCCCCTCCCGCCGGAAGCCCGGTGGGAGGGGCCGGCCTGGCGACTGCCTCTTCCGCAGATCAGCATTGCCACGCTGCGGCTGTTTGAGGAGCTGCTGCAGCAGCCCCACGAGCGGGTGCTGCACAGCCTGGTCCTGCGCAACCTCGAGGGCCGTCTGTACGTGGCCCGGGGCTCGCCCGAGCCCGAGAGCTACGAGGACACGCTGTAAGTGCCGCCCGGCCCAGCCCTCGCACACCCCCGGGGCTGGCTCGCTCCTTCCCACGCTCACGGGTGCTGCCGGTGTGCCTGGACCACAGGGACCTGGAGGAAGACCCCTACTTCCCCGATTCCGGCTTCCAGCCCTCCGCCAGGGCCCGCCCCACTCCGGCCACCAACTCCGAGGGCAAGACGGCAGTGACCGAAATTGTCAACAGGTGGGGAGCGGGGCAGGCGACAGGAGGGAGCCCCTGTCGCACTCAGGGTCAAGGCCCGGGCTGGGGACAGGAGAGCCTTCCACACCTTAGCTTTGTCTCTCAGCTTCCTGTGCCTGGTGCCCGAGGAGGCCAAGACCTCAGCTTTCCTGGAGGAGACCGGGTACGACACATACGTCCACGACGCGTACGGCCTGGTGAGTATGGGCTCTGCTGGCTCCCGCCTGCTGCCCTTAGGGGCCCGGGTTGATGACCTCTGCCCCAGGGAGCCCCGAGCCCCTCCCGCCGCTCCACAAGCCGCCCTGCCCCTGGCCTCAGTTTCAGGAGTGCAGCTCCCGCGTCGCCCCCTGGGGCTGGCCGCTGGGCCCCGCGCCCCTGGACCCCCACGAGCCCGAGCGGCCTTTCTTCGAGGGCCGCTTCCTCGGAGTGCTGTTTGACCGAATGTCCCGGATCTTGGATCAGGTAAGGCAACAGGCACCCCCCCCCCACCTCCGGGGCCCCCAGGAGAGCAGGGACTGACAGCGGGGTGGGACTGGGAGGGGGGGCTTCAGCTCCGCAGCAGCCCCCAGCCCCAGCCCTTCCCCGGGTGGGAAGCCCCGTCTCGCCTGTGCTGCGCTACACGCCCTGACACGTTCTGGCTCTCGGCCCTGGGGAGTCCGTGACACATACGCATCACGTGAGCCTCCCACCCCCGCACCCGTTCCCACTGCCCAGGCGCCTGGCTGGGGCAGCACGGCAGCGCTCGGCACCCCTGCCAGCCCCGGGCATCGTCTGCCGTGTCCCCTGCAGCCGTACAGCCTGAACCTGCAAGTGACGTCAGTCCTGTCCCGGCTCGCCCTCTTCCCCCACCCCCACGTGCACGAGTACCTCCTGGATCCCTATGTCAACCTGGCCCCCGGCTGCCGCAGCCTGTTCTCGGTGCTCGTCAGGGTAAGCATCGGGGCGGCGTGGAGAGCAGGGGACTGGCCGCGCTGCAGGGGGCGCCCTTGCCAGTGCTGGTAGAAGACACAAGTTCCTCCCGCCCCGCCCGTCTCACTCTGGGGTGTCCGCTCTAGGTGATTGGGGACCTGATGCAGAGGATTCAGAGGGTACCCCAGTTCCCAGGCAAACTGCTCCTGGTGCGCAGGCAGCTGATGGGCCAGGGCCCCGGGGAGCAGTAAGTACCCAGGAGAAGCGGGTGCCCAGGGAGGAGCCTCCCGTAGGGGCGGGAACCCGGGCCCCTGGGCACTGTGCCGCCGCCTCCCAGCCGTTCCCCGCACCTGCCCCCCCCATCCTCCCCGCAGGCTGGACCACCAGACCCTCCTGCAGGGCGTGGTCGTACTGGAGGAGTTCTGCAAGGAGCTGGCTGCCATCGCTTTTGTCAAGTTTCCCCCGCACGGTCCTCACCTGAACTTCTCCCCGCCCCCGGAAGGACAAGTCTGAGCCGGGAGACTCCTGTCCACACCTCTGCCCCAGCGCTGCCTCCCTCTCCTCTTGGTGGGGGGCTGCGGCTCCCAGGCAGCCTTGGGCCGGTGACCACACTGGGACCGGGTCTCAGGGCGGGGGCCTCCCAGGCCCAGGTGCTGTGGGGTGAGAGAAGCGGCTTGCAGGCCTGGGGCCCCCCTCCCCAGGAGGAGCTGGGTGAACTCCACCTGGAGCCCCCAAACCCTGTTGTGTCGTGTGCCTATCATCCTCCGGAGTGGCCGTGTGTGCCCGGGGCTAAGCCCTGTGAGTCAATGCCAGGGGCAAGAGAGGGAGTGAGCTGCTGGCTCCAGGGCTGGCCAGGAGGCCAGGCCAGGCATGGGGTCGGGAGCCGTGTGACGCCAGGGCCCCCAGCAGCTGCTGAGACTTGACTGTTTTCCTGCCTCGCTGGCTTAACCCCGGGAGCAGGGCAGGAACCGAGTGACAAGGAAGCCCCTCTTCCCGCTCTGTCCTGGAGACGGTTGCAAAATTCCCAACCACCCCATGGCAAATGCCCAAAGCATGTTCCGCGCCCAGGCGGGGGCAGCTGCTAATGAGAACCTTGGTGCAGCTGCAGCCAGGGCGGGAGAGGGCCTGGGGAGCTGGGTGCCAGGCTACAGTTCCAGCTGGTTTCTCTCTGGCGCCTTCTGAACCCGTCTCGGCAGGTCCAGAACACCTGGGCGGAGAGGTCAGAGACCAGGGAGGTGGGGCCTGGCGCTGCAGCCTCCAGCCCAGCGCCCAGCGCCCCCGAGGGTGCACCCTCCTCCTCCGAGAGCTGAGGGTGCCGAGGGAGGCCTGATGGGAAGGGGCCGAGGCGCCGGTGGCAGCCGGGTCTGGTGGCCTTCTCCCCGCGTGCCCTCCGCGGCCGGGCTGCCGCCCTGCCTGAGCCGAATCTGTCTCGACCTGTAGGAGCACACGGGCGGGCGGTGCCAGGCATTACCTCACACGGGGCTGCAGTTGCTGGCTGGGCTTCTGGGCGAGGAGGAGGAGGAGGAGGCCGAGGCGGAGGCCGGAGCCCCTTTCGCTTCCTTCTCCTGCCCACGCTGCTTCTAGAAGCCGGGAGCAGGTTGCCAGGAGGTGACAGGAAAGAGAAGGAAACTCCGTGACCTCCGCCTCGCCCACTGCTGCCCCGGGGGAGCGTGCCTGCACGGGCACGTGGCCGTCGGCGGGGGTCTGGGTGTGCGGGCGCCCCCTCTGTCGGTGCGCTCTGGCATTTGCGCGGTGTCTTTATAAGACAGTACAGCAATAAACGGTGTGATCGCGTGGACCTGGCGTGTGTGTTCCTCTCCAGCCTTCTCCTTCCGCCCAGGGCTCGGCTGCTAATTCGGGCCCATCTCCCGCTCCCCCCACCACCTCCCCAGGAAGACAAATTCCTTTTCCAGCGCCGGGCGGCGGGGGTGGGGGTGAGGGGGGGCTGTAAATAGAGACAGGCTGTGGCGATGCGAATCTGACGCTCCCCCACGCCTGCCAGGAGCCAGACTTGGCTGCGCAGTAGTCTCTTATGCTCACCTCACCTAGGGCCGGGAGCCCGCCGGCGGCAGAGACGCCGAGGGGTGGGGGCCCCGGTGTCCGCGAGCACGGCGCGTGTTGACGTGCGTGGTGATGTCTGTCGGAGCGGTGATGATCTAACAGACTTTGTGCTTGGGGGCTTGGGGGGGTCTCCATCCAGCCCGGCCTCCCCAGCGTGGCTGGACACAGGCCTGAACACAGCCAGTGGCACATTTTGTCCCCTGTGGTTTTTCCCCTTGTGTTTTTCGCAAAGCTGAAAGAAATCCCACCATGGGTGGCCTGGGCTGGGGGCAGTGGAGAAAAGGGTTTCCAGCTTGGACCGGACTTGTGAAAAGGCCAGGCGGTGGAGGATCCGGCCCAGGGCGGGCCAGGAGAATGGAGCTGGGCAGAGACGGGGACACCACTCACAGCTCCCGTCCCACCGGCAGCTCTCTGCAGATGCCCGCTGCTCCACCCCGCAGGGTTATAGCTGAGCCTCCCTTGGGGCTGTGGTCCCCTCGGTGACGTCCTGCCCGGTGCCAGTGCCAGCACACTGTCAGGGAAAGGCCTGGGCGGCGGCCACTGCTGAGCCGGGGGCCACACAGCAGCAGCCCCCTCGTGTCCTCCCCACACAGACATTTGGGCAGGAAAGGCAGGTGGCAACACCTGTTTACTCAGCAAGGGATGCCCTCCTGGTCCCCTGGGAGCCCCAAGTGCCCGCAGAGGCCAGGGCGGGGCCTTCGTGGGGGTGCACACAGAACAACGAGACTCCAGGATGCTCCTGTGTCCCGCTCCCCCACCCGGGGGGGAGACGCGTCGTGTGCCCTTGGCAGCAGGGCCCTGGACCTCTCGACCCTTTGCTTGGTGAAGGCACTGTCCCTTCTGATGCAGTGTGGTGGCCTGCTCCCCGCAGGCCCCGAGACCCAGAGCAGCCTCTGCTGCCGATGCAGCACGAGCCCAGATTGCTGGCTTCCGCGTCCCTCGGGGAGGGCACCTATCTGTTCAGTGGGACAGCAGAACCGTCCAGCAACCTCTGGAGGAGCTGGCCCTGCAGGCCTGCATCCCCCACCTTCCACCACGCGTAGTTCTCACCCCGAATCTTCGGGGGCTCCTCCTGGATGCCCGGGTTGCGAAAAGCCACCGCCAGCAGCACGTTCAGGCAGATGCCGTCGGCATGGTCCTTGCCCAGGTGCTGCAACCCCAGCAGCCCCTTGGTCTCCACGGCCAAACTGTGCAGGGTCAGGCACTCCTGGAGCAGCCGCAGCACGGCCACCTTCAGGCCGCCCCTCTGCTCCATAGGGGCGAAGTCACAGGCCGTGACGGGCAAGTGAGGCGCCCCCACCGTGCCCACCAGCACCCATACCGTCTGGGCACCGGTGAAGGTGGCCACGAGCCGCTGGCACACCACACTGCAGGGCAGCTCCTGGGGCAGAACGGGAGGGTGCCTGGCCTGCTGGCGGTACCGGGCGGCCAGCTCTATCAGGTGCAGGATGTCATGGGCTCGCAGAGGAGTGGCCAGGGAGCTGCGTGGGTACCAGCCAGCCTGCAGGGACTCCGCATCAGCCTCCTGTGAGGTTTTCAGCGTCCCACCTAGGGGAGAGTGGGGGCAGGAGCAGTGGTGTGGGTGGGAAGAAGCACCGGATCTCACAGAGGACACAGACCCGGCAGGCCACCCTGGTTCTAACCCCGAGCGGGGCCGGGGCCGGGGCTGAGCTTCCCCCACCCCACCTCCCCAGGCTAGGGTCTGCCAGTGCCAGAGCTGTAGCAGTCAGCACAGGGCTGGCTAGGGAGTGGGCTCATCTCACCGGAAGACCACAGGGTGGGGGTGGAGGAGTCGGAGGAAGGCGGCTACGGCACTGCCCCAGGAGAGCCATACCTGTGGGACGAGCCAGGAACACAAAACGGATCCAGGAGGGGCCTCGCTCCTCCACGGCAAGCAGGGTCTCGGGCTCGCACTGCAGCCCCGCCTCCTCCTTCACCTCCCGCTGCAGGGCCTCCACGATGGTCTCCCCGGGCTCCATCCTCCCCGCCGGCAGGTACCACGACCCCCGGCACTCTCTCTTGGCCTCCTGGATCAGGAGCACCTCGTCCTGAGGGGAGAGGGGATTGGCACTCTCCACCACGCACGGGAGAGGCCAGCCAGCCAGGCCCTTCCCTGCCCTGGGGTTGCCCAAGACCCCCTCCCTGGGGGCGGGGGGCCTGCAGCCAGCTGCTCTCTGTGGGTCAAGATCGGGCTGCGTGTGTGTCTCCACTGTGTCACTGTGTGTCTCCCGCGTCCCCATGGGGTGCACAGCCTAGCGGCAGGTCCTCACTCTGGGGTCTGGGTTCTGATCCCCCCCCAACACCCCCATGCAGGCCCACCTGGGGCTCTGGCCCCTTCTGATTCTTATCTCACAGCCTACAACAGGGACCCAGAGCAGCGACAAGGGGTCAGATCTGAGCGTGAGCCTGCCTTGTGCCATAACCAGGCGGGGGTGGGGG